CCCCGCCCTGCCTGTTCTCCCAGGCCTGGAGAACCCGAGCGAAGAAAGGTTGACTGATACGTCTCCCCCAATGACGCACCCCCTGGAGAAGGGGTGTGTGCTGAGCCCGGTCTTGCTCGTGAGCAAAGCTGTGGGTATATTCCCTGATGGTGGCGTTCCCAGGTGGGCCACTGCCCATAAATAAAGTCCACTCCAACCGGAGCGCTTGGAAGTCAACTGTGGCACCGGAGCTTGTCCTCTTACACGGATCTGGAGCAGGAAAGTCGGGAGAGACTGTGCTTTTCACTTCCATGGCTATGACTAAGCCGCGTCTGGAAGCCAAGCGGTGGGACAGCCCCAGGGCNTGTCTGGAAGCCAGGCGGTGGGACAGCCCCAGGGCTGCTGTTCTCACAAGCAGGGGAGTCACAGACTCTAGGGATCAGCAGCGCCCCTAGAAGTCATCTAGGCCCTGCCTCCGCACCCACAGGAACCTGCCTTCAGCATCCTTGGCTTGGACTCTCCAGCCCAGAGGTGGTTGGAAGCTCTTTTCATGAGAAGGTGGTTTCTTATATCTGACCCAGGGCAGCACCCACACCCAAGCAAGTGTTACCTCGTTGGTTCTGCTCTCTCCCACTTAAAAAATGACCCTCCCTGATGTAGAAATTGGAAGTCATAATAACCACGAGTATCGTGGCTAGCTAGCATTTATATAACACCTACTATGTACCAGATCCTCTTTGAATTGCTCAATAACCCCAATAAGAGCCATCCCACGTAGGTATTGATAGTAGTATTATTCCCATTTGACATATGGAGAAACTGAAGCATTGAAAGGTGAGTAACTTGTCCAAAGTCATGCAGCTCCAAGAGACAGATTTCTGATGGAATCCAGGCGGTCTGGTTCCAGAGTCCGGGCTTAACAGACAGGTGGAGGAAGAGTGGACACAGCGGGGACTGAGAAACAGGACATGTGGGAGTTTCTTCCTGGACCCTACTTGTCCTAGATCTTGGTCAAATATAGGGGTTGGATGAAATCATAATTGGATAACAGATTTTGCTTTCTTTTTATTATGTGAGAAACTAGCACCGTCTAATCCAAGCCATTCTTGCTCTGAATATGCTTTTTGAAAGACCTGTACACATTGTCCCTTGCAGATTTTGCAAGCCTGAGTTCCAGCCTTGCTGATACCTTCGACCTTCGTCCACACCATCTCCTCAGACTTGGCCCTGGGCCTCCCTCCCATCCTCTGCAGGTGGTTATAGGCGATTTAGAAGCTGACTTGGTTTCTTCAGAGGCCCTTCTTGTTTCCTCCTTGTGGGACTTCCTCTGAAGATATTGTTATATTTTACTTTTGGTGCCTCCAGAAGCTCTGGATCCTCAGGCCATCGAGTTAAGAACTTGCTCCTTGAGATCTTCTTGTTACAGATCTAGGGCACACATCAGACTGAACTTGTTCCTTCCCTTGGCTGGTCCATATGCATCCCTCTTCCCGTTTAACATCCAGTTTATGACACTTGTAAATCTGATGAAAGACAAACAGAACACTTGCCTTTCAGTCTCTTCCTGCCCCTGGGAGAAGCAGAGCTAAAGAAGGCAAGAAGGCTTTGAATATTTCAGTTTTAAAAATCTGTTCCAATTCACTGGAGGCCTAAACTCAATTAATAAGGTCGCCAGCAGAAGACTGACCTGCACGCTTTGCTCAATATCATGAAAAAGACTCTGACCTCTGCTCCATGGAATGGATTTGGAGGTTGTTAGAGGAAAGTGAAGGCAAACTTACCAATTACTGAATGTTTAGAAAGTCCCTGAATGAGAGTGAGAAAAAGACAGCAGCAAAGAAATTAGCGTTAGATTTAGTTTTTGAATAGGTTATATGTACATATAAAATTTTAAATGTGCACCAGGCAGAGTGTACAGTGCAAATTAAGTTTCTTTTCACCCCTTCCTCTCTCAGAAGCAACCACTGTTATCAGTTTTTTGTGTGTCTTCCTAGAGATATTCTAGGAACAAACAAACAAATATATACACATATACTTAACACAAACAGGAGCATCTTGTACACACTTTTAACCTGAAGATCTTTCCAAATCAGCAAACACAGATCTCTCTCCCTCTTCCTAACTGCCGAACAATATTCTGTTGTGTGATGTACAGCAATTTGTTCTTTCTTCTATTGTTTCCTGTTTTACTGTTATAAACAACACTGTAGTGAATGATCTTGAATATATAACACTTTGCACATGTTATAATAGACTGTAGGATACATTTCTAGACTAGCTATTGCTCAGCCAAAGGGTAAATGCCTTTTCATTTTGATAATTTGGCCAAATTTCTTCCCAAGGAGAGTGTATGAAATTTATACACCCATGAGCAATGAATGAGCGTGACCATTTCCACAAACTCTCATCATAGTGTCTTATCAAACTAAAACTACGTATTATATTATATACATGTCGATTACATGTTGTAATCGACATACAACATATAAAGAAAAGTAAACAAATAATAAGCGCACTGATTGATGCATTGCAGCAAAGACTTGTACGAGCAGACTTGAACCACCACCACCAGATCAAGAGCTGGGGGCATGGCCAACAACCCCAGTCACCCCTCTTCATGTTTCTGCCCTAGATGTTTATATATTTTTGAAGTATTAATGGAGTTCAAACTTCCCATTCACTTTTAATAAAAATACACCAATAAAAATAGATCAGCGAAACATGTAAGCACTCCCCACCCTCAAAATGAAACAAACATTCATTGAGATTTGATCCCATTATGTAGAAGGCTCTGTGCTGAGAAGAGAAAGACTAACAGGAAAGAAAACCCAGCAGTGTCTTCTGCACTCAGGAAGACTACAGTGTTGTTGGAAGACTACAGTGTCATTGAAAGAAGACGGTTGCACAGCCAAC